ATTTGATCACAGTGTGACACTCTTGAGACTGTGTTAATAAAGTTAAACTTGGGTTTGGGGAGGGGAAGCCAGTGACATATTGACAAGAATTGACCATAGAGATTTTAGAGGACCCAGGATACAATAGAGAGGCACAGGAAGGCGTAAGGAGGGCCTTTTTGATCTGAGGAGTGTGGGGGAAAGGACAGCTGGTCGCTCCTCTGCCACTTCTTTGATGAGGTTTTCACCCTGACATTTGACTCCCAAGTTTTTATTGATAGAAGAACAAATTAGATACACACTTCAACTTTCTAGCTTCCTCTCTTCTGAGCTACACTAAACTAAGAAGTGAGGTGATGATAATGACAACGATGACGACAACGATGACGAGGATGATGATGATTTAAGTCTGAAAATGATTGCAAACTCGTAGCCATGTGTCACACACAGAGAAGTGATGGAGGGCTGCACCGTAAGGCTCCTCGCCATGCAGGCAGAGCTCCAGGTGCTCTTGAGGCACGCAAGAGATGCAGCTAACAGATGTGTGCGGCTGCTGCTGGTACAGCACAGCATCCTGTCTTACTGACACTGTTTTTAAAAGTAGAGAATCAACACCATCTATGGTAATAAGAGAAAGCACGTCATTACCATTAGCAAGTACTACATGCTATACGTAGCTGCAGGTCCTGTATGTGAGTAGTTTCTTAGCCTGCATTAAGACAGATACCATGTCACTAGGCAACAGGAGTGTCTGAGCTCCATAGTAACCTAATGGGACCATCTTCATGTATTTGTACAAGTCGTTGGGTTCTTCATTGGCTAAGTGGTATGGGAGCTATTGAAAGAACATAAAATATAGTCCTTATCTTTGTGGCGTTGGCATTCTAATCAAGAACTGGATTTATTGGGGGGAAAATACATGAAATTTCTTATTGATACCATGTGCTTTTTTTTTCTAGAAATCAAACCACAAAAACAACATGAACACATTTTCTTTCCTTCAAATCTGATGGCTTACTGTCGTAAAGCTTTTAGCACTTGCCTGACCATGACCTCAACTTAGGGAATAGGCCAGCAGGAGGTCATGTTAGCCCCTAACAGCCACTGGTCTCAAAGCCAACAGCAGACATCCACCACAGAGACAACTCCACATTAAGCATATCTAGCACAGGAATTAAAGAAGTGTGTACGTAGGGTCTGCAGTTGGTGCTGCAGCAAACCAAGCCCATGCAAGGTGGACCCATGAGGGAAAGCTATGTAACTGTTTGCGCAGAAAGGATGACGGAATATACATGTGGTAAATGAGAGACCACGGAGGGAGGGAGGGAGGGAGGGAGGGAGGGAGGGAGGGAAGCTAACCATGGATGCAGATGAGTGCCTGAAGGACTTCATGTTCTCTGAGATCACTGTGCTTTCCAATGCTGAATGAGCTTCAGAAGCTCCCTAAAGCAATTCCCCCTCTTGGTCCACTTTCTGAGTCTTACAGATGATCTCAGAGACATTTTCATGATTGAAGGCAGCCGCACAAGTTCACGCGCAAGCTAATATTTCCATGTAATACGTGCCAAGAAGCAGCCTGAGGGATCCCCCTTACACACATTTCCCAATCTTCCAGAGACTAAGCTCCAAACTATACTGGATTAGCCCTAGGATTTTAACACCCGAAAGAGCAAAGGCCACTTTAAATCAGTCCTGCCAATCTCCGTCCTTACTGTGTCAGCGCAGCTCACCCTGGGCTCTGTGACCCTGTATGGAGATTTTACCACCGGCTCTCTATCCACTCCACTTTAGTTCACCACCAACCCCTTCTCCAAGCAACCTAAAGCAATCCTTAAGAAAGGCAAATCAGCCTGGGAGAGTTGGTGCACGCCTTTAACCAAAAAAAAAAATCAAACAACAACATAAGTCTAACCCAAAGAGTCAGTCACACACAAAGAGATCTACTAACCTAAATCAGCAGTAAGTGCTACCTGCAAGTGTCCTGAAGCTAGTGTGCCAGGGCAGGCCTGTGTTCTGCTAGTGTGCCAGGGCAGGCCTGTCTTTCAGCACTTGAGTCATAGAGCTGTTCAAGATAATTTAAAAAACAAGACTTTCTTGGTGAGTTCCCGATAGAACATCTCACCAAGGCCAGCTGGACTGGATCTGAAAAAACATGGGACAAAACCGGACTCGCTGAACATAACGGACAATGAGGACTACTGAGAAATCAAGAACAATGGCAATGGGTTTTGATCCTACTGCACGTACTGGCTTTGTGGGAGCCTAGGCAGTTTGGATGCTCACCTTACTAGACCTGGATGGAGGTGGGAGGTCCTTGGACTTCCCACAGAGCAGGGAACCCTGATTGATCTAAGGGCTGATGAGGAAGGGGGACTTGATCGGGGGAGGGGGAGGGAAATGGGAGGCGGTGGCGGGGAGGAGGCAGAAATCTTTAATAAATTAATTAATTAATTAATTTTAAAAAAAGAACAATCAAAATAGATTTAAAAAAAAACAAGACTTTCTTGATGTAGGATTTCCCTCTGTATGCTATGAGAAACGGGTTGATTTAAGACATAAGAGTTAGCTAGAAATTAGCCTAAGCTATAGGCCAAACAGTGTTGCAATTAATAAAGTTTCTGTGTGATTATTCGGGTCTGAGTGGCCAGGAAACAAAAGTGCAATCTCTGCCTACCCTTTCTGTATAACAGGACAGCGGCAGAGACTAAGTTGGAGGTCAAAAGGAAGACCGCATAAAACTTCCTACAGAAATGCTCTCTGTGCTGTCCACTATGGCGGCCCTGGCACGTGGCTAGATACATCGAAGGAACGGGATTTGTAGGCTGCTTCACTTTTATTAAAGTTAATAAGAGGAGTTATGAACCAGTGGCTGTCACACTGAGCAGAGCAGGTTTGCATGTTAGAGGCAGGTGAGCTTCTGCAGAGCCAGAAAGGTGTGAACACAGCCACCCAGAGGAAGTCCCGCAATGTAACCGAATCAGACCTTCACACTGCCAAATGTTTCAAACCTTTCTACCCAGGCCACAGATTTACTGTGAAATTCACCTATATCCAAAATGTTGCCAACCAAATTAATAAAACTTGATCATCTTAACCAAACGTTCCACTATCTCATTTCATTCAGGAGTGTTTTAGTCATTAATTCATTAGATAATGAATGAATACGACACGTCAGACCCGTTCTGTGTAGCAGATACAAAGCAGGGATGAAAAAGGACAAAAATCCCCGCCCAGTCTGTAAGACTAACAAAGATAAAACACACTAATGGATACAAAAATAACCTCAGAAAAGACCTACATGTAATTTAGGGAGCAGATTCTGGGGGATCCAGTATTTCCTCTTTCTGGGCAGTTTAACTTCTACAGGGTTCATGAACTTTGTAAACACTAAGCCAAGCAAGCACTTCTGTAATTGCCACTGGTTCTCTATGAGCTTCAGTAAACATCCTAATGTTGCTTCCTGGCTGCCCAGTTCCACAGGCACCATCTCCAAGCCTCCTCCACCCACTGCTAAATTCTAGACTGTCTGGTTCACTGACATCCCTTCGACGATAAACTCCAGCCATCAGCGTATCACACACACACACACACACTCTTCACACCGCTTGGCTCCGCTCGTATGAGATGAAAACTGCTCATTTCGGGGCCTGTGCGAACATTTTTAACGCAGTCTACCAATAGGTCAAAACAAAAGGCCCAAACGCTAGGCACATAATTAAAATCATTATCATTTCTACCACTGACAATCACCTGCCTCCCAGAATAGAAACAGTGGTTGTTAATCTGAAATCATTAATTAATCCTTAAAATGGAGGGTTTTTTTTAAGGGGGTGGGAATCTATACGTTTTCAAAGAGCCAATCATCACACAGCACAGTACCTAAGAAAGAACCGGGGCTGCCATGTGCTCGTCAAAGGAGCATGGCAGATCAACGAACGTAGCTGGCAGACTTGTAGGATTAGGAAATTAATGATGTGAGAAAATTAAACTATTTGGATTGCTAGCCTCTAAGAACATTCCAGACCCTTAATTCTTCAAGTGCCATCCCAGAATGAGCAAATAGTGCACTCACTGGCTCTCTCACAGCTGACGTCTGGAAGACAGTCTTAACAACTCTCCCTGAAAACGACTATTTCTCCTCTAGTTTCTATGGAAACAGCTGTCAGATTGGCAAAAATAGGACATGCACTTTGAAATAATCATTCAAGCTAAGTGCATGATGGGCGGCTTCTAAAAAAGAAAGTTATCAGGCTTGGCTCTTCAGTTTCCAAATGTCACACAGCACCCCTGCACCTTGGCTGGGGATGCTGGCTACGGAGCTAAATCCTTTTTAGGAGGGCTCCAAGACCTTGAGAGTCGCCCTGAGGCGGTCAGTTCCTACGAGCTATCAACTCCTAAATTACAACTGTGGTTATTTTCACCTCCTAAGACTAACGTTTCTGGCTGAGGTTTGCCCAGCTCAGGTGCTCCCTGTCGCACCGCAGGTGACATGTAAATAATATTTAAAAAGGATCCTTGAATACAAGTTGCTTAGGATTCAGTAAGTTCCCTGGAACTGTCCTGATGCTAATAGTTGCGACAGGAGCATTTGTCTCTCAACAAGGAGGAGCGGCGGGACGGGAGGGGAGACCCGCACAGGCCAGGCCAGCCCAGCCACACCGCAGGAGGAAGCGCTGCTCAGAAGGAACCCACCACCGCCGGCGGCGGGAGGCAAGCTTCCAGAAAACCCGCCACCCCGGCCGTTCGCGCCGACCCAGGCAGGGCCCATGCCCACCGCAGCCCCGAACCCCGGCCCCAACTCCCCATCTCCGCCCTCCCCGCCCAGCGCAGGGAGAATGCCGAGCCGTCACCGTGAGCACGCACTCTAGCCGCGGCCTGAGCGGGATCCAGCAACGGGCCTCCGCGCAGGCGCACACCCTCCCAGGCCCCGCCCCCTCACTTCCTGCCCTTGGGACCTCCCGGGCGCCTTTGGCCCCGCCCGCGCCTTTTGCCCCCTCTGGCTGTAGCGCCTTGGCACACCCGTGTGGCTGGAGGAGGATACTCCTGGATAAGCCACCTGCCGGGAACTACACACTTCCTTGATACTCGCCATGACTGTGTTGGATCCTCAGTTCTGCCCCAGGGGAAAGCGATTCAGGAGGCTGATGGAGGACTGAGATGCCTTGATTTGAAGCTGCCTTGCGCTGATGGTTTTGATTATGGGTGAAACATTAATTCCAGAATTCCATTTACCGGTACTCCTCCCGCAGTCCTAGGGTGGTAAGTCTGCATAAACATAAGACTAAAGATAAAAGACCATTTCACCAGGATCTCTTGAGAAGGTCAGCAGAATCCATGACAACCGCTTCTGTAGTGTCCTAAGACACGATTTCACTGTGGAAAGGGTTTGCACAGGGGTGTGAATACTGGCAGGCGTGATACCACAGGAGCTGCAGCTAGCCACCACAGCCGAAAGATGATGCTTTGTGAATATATATGAATTATTCTGTGTTCCTAATAGGCTACCTGAGGGACACGTTAAAGCTAAACCTACTATTCATGTCTTCACTAATTCATCCAACAAATATTTATCTAGTGCGTGACAGCACTGTGCGTGGTAGAGATATTAAGATCAATATCATATAGTCACTATAATGACAATGTCACGCAGTGATGCTTGGGAAAGGTGGCGAGGGAGCATGGCAGCACTGGAGGTGCCGGCTCGTTCAATTCTTCACATCTGCTTGATGGGCCATGGAGATATCGATAACCAGTCATAAAAATGAAGTGACTCTACAAACCAATGGGAGCAGGAACTCTAATCCTAGGGATCACCGACAGGGAGGAAATGCCCCAACCTTTGGGTCATCAGTGAGGAAAGGAGTAGATGGGTTGAGAGGAAACAGATGTTGGGAAAGAGAACCCTGGGGAACGTCAACATTTTAAAATTCAAAAGAGGGCCCAGTGGTTCCTATCTTCAATCCCAACACGAGGGAGACTGAGACAGGAAGATGAGTTTGAACTCAAAACCAGGTTGCCAAATGACCTGATCAGCGTCAAGTCAACCTGGCATACAGAGTAAGACTCTCTCAAAAACTGAAAAATACAATGGAAGTTCAAAGGAGAGGCACTTACATAGATAGGGAGAGTCAAAATGAATGGGAGGAGGTTGGAGCAAATATTCACCATATTATAATTAATAGTAACTTAACTACTTAATTTTGAATTTATTTAGTGATCTTTTCTGGGCATAGTGGCACACCCTTCTCATTCCAGCATGTGGGAGGCTCAAGAAGGAATATGGCTGCAAGTTCAAGGCAAGGCAAGGCTACAGAGCAAGTTCCAGGCAAGCTCAAGCTGTATAAACCACATCTCAAAACAAACAAAGATAAAGGCATTTAGCATTTAAACTAATAAGTTTAGTTAATAGGTTATTGCCTGGCTTTTCCTTAGGTGTCCATTTCTTCTCCTGCTAGATGAAGAGGGCCATCACAGACCAACAAAATGATTCCATTCAAGTTTGCCTTGGTTGGCCAGTGTGCTCACAGGGGTTACTTGTGGAGCGTGGACGATTCTGGCATCTGCACCATGAACAGCCCTCGGGAGTGTTAGAGATGAATATAGGATGCCACAGGGCATGCGCTGGGATTTCTAGGTTCCTGTGTTCCAGAACAAGGAACTGAACCAGGGACGCATGGAGAAGCAGATACAGTTACTAGAAATGGGTAGTTCATTAAGAAAAAGAGAACTTGAGAGCAGCAAAGAGGGGCAGAGATCCAAAAAGGTCAGAAGCTCATTGGTGCCTGGTCACAAGAGTTGTGACTCTTTGTGGGCCATTTACCTAACACTTGCCAACCCTGCTTGCTGTTTCTTGTGCTTTGAAGAGACACCATGACCACGGCGACTCTTATAAAGGAAAGCATTTGGGTGGCTTATAGTTTTAGAAGTTTAATCCATTATCATGGCAGGACATTGCAGTGTGCAGGCAGATGTGGTACTAGAGAAAGAGCTGAGACCTCTTGCAGGCAATAGGAAGTGAACTCCTGGGCATGATTTGAACATATATGAGACTTCAAAACCTGTCTCCATAGTGACACACCTCCTCAACAAGGTCAGCCATACCTACTCGAACAAAGTCACACCTCCTAATAATGCCACTCCTTTTGAGGGCCATTTTCTTTCAAACCACCACATTCCACTATCTGGCCCCCAAAGGCTTGTAGTCATATCAAAATGTAAAAATGTATTCAGTCCAACTTCAAAAGTACCCATAGTCTATAACAGTCTCAAACTCATTTAAAAGGTCAAAGTTCAAAGTCTCTTCTAATATTCAAACAATCTCTTAACTGTAATCCCTTATAAAACCAAAATCAAAAAAGCATATCACATACTTCCAACATATAATGGCACAGGATATAGATTACCATTCCAAAATGTAGGAAAGGGGGCATAGTGAGGAAGTACTGGACCAAAGCAAGACTGAAAACCACCTGAGCAACCTCCAAATTCTGCATCCCCATGTCTAATGTCAAACTCTCTTCAGATCTCCAACTTCTTTCAGTTTTGTTGACTACAACACACTCCCTTCTCTTGGGCTGGTTCCAGTCTGTTAGCAGCTTTCCTCAGCAGATCCCATGGCTCCGCCATTTCCAACATCTTGGGGTCTTTAAGGCAATCCAGGCTTCAAGTTTATAGCTTCACACAATGGCCTCTCTGGGCCTCCATTCGGGGACACCCCTGACACATGCCTGACCTCCGTGACTCTCCTTAGTCACAGACGCAAATTCCATAACCCCTTTCTTCTACCCTTAACTCCAGAACCACATGGCTGAAGCTGCCAGGCTCTGCTGCTTACTGGGCTGGGACATGGCACACTTCTTCAATTACACCTTCACCAACTTTCTCTTTTCAATGGTTTCCTTTTCTGCCTAAACTTGACTGTTCTGAAACTGGACCTGTAGACCAAGCTGGCCTTGAACTCAGAAATCTTTCAATTGCATTTTGACCAGCTTTCTGGTTTTGATGGTTACCTCTCACTACACAAGTTTAGCTATTCCTAGAACTTGCTCTGTAGACCAGGCTGGCCTCGAACTCAGAGATCTGCCAACTCTGCCTCTGGCGTGCTGGGATTAAAGGTGTGTGCCACCATAACTGGCTCTAAGCTTGTCTTTAATTCCTTTTCACAAGTTGGAAAAAGATCCCACGAGGTGGAATCTTTTCCTGATGTCACCATTCCTTTTATTTCATTTCTTAATCTGATTATCTCCTTGAACACAGGACTTAGCTCCATTCAACTTACTGATGCCCCCTTTCTCCTCAGTCTGTACATTTGTATTTTTCCTTGCTCAGCTTGTTCCTTTTCATTATAAATCTTCATTAGAGTTAACATAATAAATACATAACCGAGTCTATACTAGGATATTTTGAGATTTCCTCTACCAACATAATCCAAATCTCTTCACTTTAGCCTCCAGGCAGATTTTTCAGGCAAGGGCAAAAAGCAGCCACTGTCTTCACCAAAACATCACAAGAACAATCTCTAGGCAACATACTAAAATTCTTCTCCTCTGAAACCTCTTTAGCAACTCCCCCCACAGTTCAAAACATTCTCAGATCCATTGTCTTTCATGCTCTACTAGTATGGTCCAATAAGCAGGGTTTAAAGCCTTCCATGGCTTTCCAAACCCAAAGTACCAAAATCCAAATTCAAAGTCAAATCCAAAAACATGGTCCAGGCTATCACAGCAATTCCCAAGTCCCTAGTACCAACTTCTGTCTTAGCTAGGGTTTCTATTGCTGTGAGGAGACACTATGACCATGACAACTCTCATAATAAAAAAAAATTTAATTGGGTTACTTACAGTTTCAGAAGTTTAGTCCATTATCATTGTGGCAGGACATGGCTGCAGGCAGGCAGGCATGGTGCTGGAGAAGGAATAGGAGTTCTATCTCTTGCAGGCACCAAGAAGTAAACTGACTCACTGGTCACGGCTTGAGCATATGTGAAACCTCAAAGCCTGCCCTCACAGTGACATGCTTCCTTCAACAAGGCCAGCCACACCTCCTAATGGTGCCACTCCCTTTGGGAGCCATTTTCTTTCAAACCACCACACCTCTCATTTGTAGATTAAACCTGCTCTGTCTCATACATGAGCTCTTGCTCAGGAATGGCTCCAGTCTTTTTCTGACATTGATCACTTTTTTTTCTTTAAAGATTTATTTTTATAGGTGCTTCGCCTGTCAAATGAAGGCATCAGATTGTGAGTAGCCCTGTGGATGCAGGGAGTTGAACTCAGGACTTCTGGAAGAGCAGCCATTGCTCTTAACTACTGAGCCTTCTCTCCAGCCTTGACATTGGCCACTTTCAGATGCTAATCTTTCTCAAAGAACTTCAGCTCTATTTTTTGTTCATTTTCTTTTGTCTCGTGTGAGATTTGTTTATTTGAGAACTTTGTACATACAAATAATGTATTTTGGTATATTCATCTCCTCTGCCCCTACCTCATTCAAGATTCCCTCCAAATTCCCCTTTCAATTTCATGACTTCTTTTCTTTCTTTAATAGCCCACTGAATTTAAATAGTGCTGTCCATGTGCATGTACAGCAATCCAACAAGAGGTTAACCTACCAGAGAACACCCCCAGCCCCTGAAAAAAAAAACAACTGTCTCTCCCTCCCCAGCAGCCATTAATAGCTCCCATAGCAGTCAATAACTCTTCATCTGTGCCCCTCCTGCTCCATGCTGCAATGCTGACTGGCTTGATCTTCTGCAAGTATCATTCAGGCTCCCACAGCTGCTGTGAATGCAGTAGTCCTGCCGAATCTAGATGACACTGTCTCTCCCCAGTCTTTCCTGACCTCTGGCTCTTACAGTCTCACCATCTCTTCTTCCATCATAAAAGTTACCAAGCCACTTGGCTAAACATGGACGAGAATTATGGGTTTAGTTAGGCTGTAAGAGCTAGTTAATAATATGCCTGAGCTAGTAGGCTGAACAGTTTATAAATCATATAAGCCTCTGTGTTTCTTTGGGACTGAATGGCTGTGGGACTGTGTGGGACAGAAACTTCTGTTTACAAAAATGTAAGGTGAAAAATGCTGACAGATTTCTAAAATAGGGTTTCTCTTTGTATTTAAGAAGTTAAGGCATCCTTCTGCTCACTTGAAGAGGATTTTTAAAGGTTTTTAGCCTACTGGTGATAGGGATCCCAGCAAGCAGGGCCATCCAGAATCTGGGTGAGCTTTTTGTGTATATAAGGGGGAAAGGCCATGTTACTGAG